CATTTTTCCAGATCAAAGTTTCTTCTTCCCAGAAACTCAGCGACACAAAGAAGAGGCGGTAATGGCATTTTAAGGAGTGTGGAGTGTAGCGTGGGAGAGTGTGGAGTGTAGCGTGGGAGAGTGTGGAGTGTAGCGTGGGAGAGTGTGGAGTGTAGCGTGGGAGAGTGTGGAGTACAGCATGGGAGAGTGTGGAGTGTAGCGTGGGAGTGTGTGGAGTGTAGCGTGGGAGAGTGTGGAGTACAGCATGGGAGGTACTCTCTATGATAAACAACCATCCTTAAAGAGAAGAGGGGAATTGCCTGACAGAAAAAAGACAAAAATGGTGCCACTATTGCACTATCTGCCCTCACCACCAAACACTACACGACAAAAATACCAATTACATAGAAAATTACAATATACCTTACGAACCATCTGGAGAAAAAAAATTGCATGCATCAGCAAGGTTGCAATTAGTCGAAACATTCAACCTGTCAAACCGGTAAACTGACAAGGATCAGGGGAAAAAAACGGGATTGCTAGATTGACTGCATCTTTCTGGACTTCCAGAGGGCTTCTGGAAGTCCAGAAATAATTACCTCAATGCTTATACTGCCCGATATCACCTTGCTATAACCGCGCTCTTTATATCAATCAATGTATACACGAATATCAGAATGACAAAACAGGCATACAATAGGTTTCAAAATATAGGTCTTCTCCCCTGTATTTGTCAGCCAATCACAGACCACCGCAAGCCAAACACAAAGTAATATGTTATAGACAGCCGGCCAATCAGAGGCCACCGTCCACGAGAGCCAGGCAGCGGCACCTCTTGATCAGGTTCACTAAGCCCTGAAGCCCCGGGTGGCCTTTTGAAGCTGCTTCCAGGTTCCCTCAATGCTGGAATCTCGGATCATTTCTGGCTGCTGGTTCCAGGCATACACGAGGCAGGAGTTTAGATGGCCTTTGGCTGCTGCTGGTTCCAGATTAACTCGGTACTGGATTATCAAGTGGGATTTCTTGAACCTCAGAGGGGTTCTGGCTGCTGGTTCCAGGCCTTCTCAGTTCTGGAACCATGGATATGCTTGCAGCTGGTTCTAGGCTTTCTCTGTTCTGGAACCATGGATAAGCATGCAGCTGGTTCCAGGCCTTCTCAGTTCTGGAACCATGGATATGCTTGCAGCTGGTTACACTCTTATCTTAATGGTCCCCAGAGAACATGGATTATGTGCTTCTTATCAGGAAGAAAACTCTTTCACGACAATAACAATTCTTGAAGAATAATGTTATCATTTTCTAAGAAGAATTTCCAAATCTCACGTGGAAGACATTTTCAAATTCTATAATATTCCCCCCCCCCCCAACAAAAAAAAAATATATGACAATTACTATATACTCTCCAAGAATCGAAAATAAAAAAAAATCCATTTGGAAAAAATTCTTGGGTTACCTAAATGTGATATATTCTCTAATTTAACCAGATCAATACTCGTGTAAACTCACAAGGGTGTTATACTCTTTCACAATGGAACAGTCAACCATCCAGCCCAAAGCGAGCACAGCTGATCTGAAAATATATGTTAATGGTTCTCTAGTGTCTGTAAATTGGATTGTAGGTCTTAGGGGTAAGGAAATGGGTAATGGTATCTGAGTGACTGGGAATAGGCTCTCAGTGACTGGGAATAGGCTCTCAGGGACTGGGAATGGGAGCTGATGGTATAGGATACTGGAAAAGGCATTGGATCCTTACAGCTACGAATGGGATTGGAAATCATGCTGGAGAGACTATAGGAACGAGAACAAATCCTATGAGATATGGAGCGGAATTAAACTGGATCTCAGAGCGAGATGCTGGAAATTGAATTCGAGAGAGACAAAGAATTGGACAGGATGGAGGGCCTCAGGTCTGTGGGATGAAGATAGGATCAGGGGGGGGGGGGGTTCACTCTAAAATCCTGTGATCTTCTTTTCCTTTCAGACTCCTTGTACTCGGGGATCTTAATCCTGTTCCCCTCCTCCTCCTCCTCCTCCTCCTCCTTATCAACTAGGAAGCCAGAAAGAAAGGAGGAGACGACCTGTCGTTAGTTGCGTGAGGATTATGCGTTGGTTCGTGACTTGGTTCGTGCGTTGGTTCGTTGATTGACAGTTGAGAGGGTCCCTTTCAACTGTCAATCAATCAACTGTTACTAACTATTAACTAATTATTTTTTATCCTCCACACACACAAACACACGCACCCCCAGGAAGCAGCCCGTAGCAGCTGTCTAACTCCCAGGTACCTATTTACTGCTAGGTAACAGGAGCATCAGGGTTAAGAAAACTCTGCCCATCTGTCTCTGCGGGTGCGGGGACCGAACCTCAGTCGCTAGGTCCACGAGTCTAGAGCGCTGTCCACTCGGCCACCCTGTGTGTGTGTGTGAGGGGGGGGGGGAGGGGAGGTATGTACTAAGACGAACGCATGACTTTGACGCATTTGTAACACGCGAAAGCGTACATATATATATATATATATATATATATATATATATATATATATATATATATATATATATATATATATATATATATATATATATATATATATATAAATATATACCCTCTCAGCTCAGCGCATAATATACATACGCACACATATACCAAACACACCACGAATATATATAATGTTTCCAGGAGTCCCCCACACCACACACACACACACACACACACACACACACACACACACACACACACACACACACCTCGGCCACCCCCCCCCCCACCCCATCCTGCTAGAGATTCCGTTGGACATATATTCTCAAACTGCCTAAACCGAGCGTTATCAAAAGTCCATTTTCTTACATAACTTCCTGGGAAGTTCTTCGGGTGGTTGTAAGTCTTGTAGGAACCTGGCGAGGGGGCTGCAAGTGTCAGTCACCCAGCATCTTATCAGAGTTTAGAGCTGGGGGTGATAACACGATAACCATCGCGGTGGCCTTTGCCTTCTAAATGAAAGAGAACGATATCTTACCCGACTGGAAATGCTATAAGGGGCAATGTAACACCGTGAAAATAACACGGTGAAAATAACACTGAAATATAATACGGAAAAAAGCACGGAGACACAATATGGGAATATAACACGATTTTATACACGAGAAATTAACACAAAAAGTCTCTCTCTCTCTCTCTCTCTCTCTCTCTCTCTCTCTCTCTCTCTCTCTCTCTCTCTCTCTCTCTCTCTCTCTCTCTCTCTCTCTCTCTCTCTCTCTCTCTCTCTCTCTCTCTCTCTCTCTCTCTCTCTCTCTCTCTAATAAAAAAGGTAATATTACGAACAGCTGAAAACACTCCGTGGGAAAAGAAACCCATTTCAGATTTCCCTACCAAAAATAGGAGCCGATAATTCTTGAAGAGGGCGCTATATGGCCTATGACCCTCCCATACCACCCATGTGTCATCATGAAAAGTTGTGAGGCTAATCTCAAGCCTCACTCTGTGGATAGACAGAGACACAGCCAGTCTCTTTTATTGATAAGGATAACGAGATGAAATAAAGCAAGGATATGACAAAATATACCGTATATTATATACATCACATGTAATAATACCGGACTATATCGAAGGAATATAATAAAGGAATATAACGAGGGAAATATAACAAAGGGATATAAGTTCTAGGATATACCGCAGGGCATAACGAATAGATATTAAGCAAGGACATGAGGCAGGTATATAAGACAGATATAAGCAGGTGTATATAAAGTGGCGGGCAAGGCGCGAGGGCAAGATATGAAGGCGGGAAAATAGCGCGGGAAAACAATTTGAGGGCGGGAGGCGAGCGCGGGAAATACGAGACGTTTAAAATAGCGCGGGAAAATATGAAGAGCGGTAAGAGAAGGAATATATGAATGGAGGCTACTAAATGGAAGCATGAGGGCTGATAAGGGGACCATGTAGGCACGGATAAGGGGCCAACCATGTAGGCACAGATAAGGGGTCAACCACGTAGGCACAGATAAGGGACCAACCATGTAGGCACAGATAAGGGGTCAACCACGTAGGCACAGATAAGGGGCCAACCATGGAGGCACAGATAAGGGGCCAAAGATGTAGGTACTGATAAGGGCTCAACCATGGAGGCACAGATAAGGGGCCAACCATGTTAGCACAGATAAGAGACCAACGATGGAATCTGATTGTAAACAAAACATGTGAGTTTGATTTAGACTGATGTTATGAAGGTGTTACCAATCATGTTTATTATTCTAATTCTAATTCTAAACAGATCAAGTTAAGAAAGCATCGTGGAAGAACGTCCTGCGTCACCCAGCTACGTCACACACACTCCCTTGCGTCATCGAGTTGCGTCTCGCTAGACGTAAGCTGCGTCTGGGAGCAAGATAGTGCTATATATATACCCCGGGTCCGCCGGAGAGTGACTCCGGGAGATAATTAGCAAGAGAGCATCAGCCCATCTCCCACCTCTGGGGCCGCCCATCTCGCCACAGACGCAGCATCCAAGATAACAGCCGGATATTATGAGATAACGCCACATTCCCTTCACTCTCTGCTTATGATCCTGAGCATGGAGGTGGGGGGGGGGGGGTTGCTGGTGTTGCAGCTGGCTATAATGCCTTACAGCTGGTGGGGGGTGGGGGAGGAGAAGATAGCTGGCTACTGGCTCTTGTCTGGTGGAGGGGGAGACAGCTGGCTATACTACCAGTCAGCTGGTAGAGGGGGGAGACAGCTGGCTATACTGTCAGTCAGCTGGTAGAGGGGGGAGACAGCTGGCTATACTGTCAGTCAGCTGGTAGAGGGGGGAGACAGCTGGCTATACTGCCAGTCAGCTGGTAGAGGGGGGAGACAGCTGGCTATACTGCCAGTCAGCTGGTAGAGGGGGAGACAGCTGGCTATACTGCCAGTCAGCTGGTAAAGGGGGGAGACAGCTGGCTACTCACCTGTGATGATGATCCTGGCCGGGGTTCGAGACAGCTGGCTGCTGCCAGTCAGCTGGTAAAGGGAAGAGACAGCTGGCTACTCACCTGTGATGATGATCCTGGCCGGGGTTCGAGACAGCTGGCTGCTGCCAGTCAGCTGGTGGAGGGTCCGACACTGGAACCTTGAGAGCCCATCTTGAGGACCAACTTCCAGCACGTGAAGTTCCCCTTCACTCGTCATGTGGTACTTCCCGTCTGGGGGAAGAGCAGAGGGTCGTTAGTGGGGGTCCCTGTGTGTCTGGGGGAGGAGAGGGTCGTTAGTGGGGGTCTCTGTGTGTCTGGGGGGAGGAGAGGGTTGTTAGTGGTGGTCCCTGAGTGTCTGGGGGGGGAGAGGGTCGTTAGTGGAGGTCCCTGTGTGTCTGGGGGAGGAGAGGGTCGTTAGTGGGGGTCCCTGTGTGTCTGGGGGGGGGAGAGGGTCGTTAGTGGAGGTCCCTGTGTGTCTGGGGGAGGAGAGGGTCGTTAGTGGGGGTCCCTGAGTGTCTGGGGGAGGAGAGGGGTCGTTAGTGGGGGTCCCTGTGTGTCTGGGGGAGGAGAGGGTCGTTAGTGGGGGTCCCTGTGTGTCTGGGGGAGGAGAGGGTCGTTAGTGGTGGTCCCTGTGTGTCTGGGGGAGGAGAGGGTCGTTAGTGGGGGTCTCTGAGTGTCTGGGGGAGGAGAGGGGTCGTTAGTGGGGGTCCCTGAGTGACTGGGGGAGGAGAGGGTCGTTAGTGGGGGTCCCTGTGTGTCTGGGGGAGGAGAGGGTCGTTAGTGGGGGTCCCTGTGTGTCTGGGGGAGGAGAGGGTCGTTAGTGGGGGTCTCTGTGTGTCTGGGGGAGGAGAGGGTCGTTAGTGGGGGTCCCTGAGTGTCTGGGGGAGGAGAGGGTCGTTAGTGGGGGTCCCTGTGTGTCTGGGGGAGGAGAGGGTCGTTAGTGGGGGTCCCTGTGTGTCTGGGGGAGCAGAGGGTCGTTAGTGGTGGTCCCTGTGTGTCTGGGGGAAGAGCAGAGGGTCGTTAGTGGTGGTCCCTGTGTGTCTGGGGGAGGAGAGGGTCGTTAGTGGGGGGTCCCTGTGTGTCTGGGGGGAGGAGAGGGTCGTCAGTGGGGGTCCCTCTGTGTCTGGGGAAGGAGAGGGTCGTTAGCACTCTGATGGTAATCTTGGGCATAGTATTTTATCAAATACTGATGGACAAATAGCCTAGGCTACCGTCAGCTTTTATCCGGTCGTGATGGTCGAGTGGATTAGGTGCCCTGTACACCAGTTGCAAAGTGCTCCTGGCAGTATGGGTTCGAGTCACTTCTGGGGTGTGAGTTTTCAGTTGCATATATGCCTGGGGACCATTCAGGCTTGTTCGCATATATATGTGTGTATATATATATATATATATATATATATATATATATATATATATACATACAGGTGTGTATTTGTGCAGTTCTGTTAGTGTGCAGGTGTAGATGTTTATAAGTGCACAGGTGTTGAAGTGTACAGTTGCATAAATATAATTAACATAATCCAACTAACCCTTGTTCCGTTGATGTATGTAAAAGAATACATCATGTGTATAAAATTAAGTTTAATAAAATACTGTATATCATCTTGGTTTTGTATTTATTATATTCTAATGCTTAATATGACAAATATTTCTCTTGTTAACTATGTTGCACCAAACTCTAGACCATAAAACTCTAGACCATACACGAAGTGTGATTCAATTTAAAGTGTCCAAGTTCCTGGAGTTACATTAGCCAAAAAAAGTGACCAAGTTTAGTAATGTGAGCAACCGAGCAGGTGGGCCAAGTTGGTCCACACTCTCACCACCCACCTAGGCCGCCCACCCTCCTGGGCCACCCACATGGGCCGCCCACCCTCCTGGGCCACCCACATGGGCCGCCCACCCTCCTGGGCCACCCACATGGGCCGCCCACCCTCCTGGGCCACCCACATGGGCCGCCCACCCTCCTGGGCCACCCACATGGGCCGCCCACCCTCCTGGGCCACCCACATGGGCCACCACCCACAACACCATCCCGGGGAGACTCTACATTACGTTTAACTTATGGCTGCCGCTAGAAGCCTCCTGATTTTATGAAAGGCAATAAAGTGACCTACTTTCTTACCCCTGTACTAAAGTACACCTGAAGTACACACCTGGTCCAGCACCACTACAGTAGGCCACCATCCACCTCAATGCACTTGAACCTACCTGCATAGCAGCCCACCTTAACGCTATGCACTAAAATGTAATTTAGAATAAACTTAAGTAAAAAAGCGACAAATTGTGTATATTACTGAAATGGTGATGAAAGGCATTCCACCACAACATGGGAGATCAGGTAAGTGCCGGCATGTGGGAGATCAGAGAACCTCCCTCCCCTCCTCTATCATGTCTTCATCCCTAACCAGCGCACCACGACATATCTTGAGGTTATCTTGAGATGATTTCGGGGTTTTAGTGTCCCCGCGGCCCGGTCTTCGACCAGGCCTCCACCCCCAGGAAGCAGCCAGTGACAGCTGACTAACACCCAGGTACCTATTTTACTGCTAGGTAACAGGGGCATAGGGTGAAAGAAACTCTGCCCACTGTTTCTCGCCGGCGCCTGGGATCGAACCCGGGACCACAGGATCACAAGTCCAGTGTGCTGTCCACTCGGCCGACCGGCTCCCCTGCACACACTAGTTGCACAGTCAATAGCCAACATAACCATTAGTCTGGAATATACCTATGACCTGTTGCAAGAAACATTGCCACAAACCGAGACCCGCTACACATACACACAAACAAACAAACACGAACTGTTTTTGCGAGTAGTGGGAAAACAAAAACAGAGACACGGAGGGACACAATCCTTAGTTTTTCCATAGAAAAAACTAATAATTGTGTGTTTTCATCTCTATATGCTAGTAATACCTGTTTGTCAGAGAGATGTTATTCCTCACCGCTGCACAGAGAATACAGAGAGACTGTAGTAGTCTCTGTGTCTGTCTGTACGACAGTTATGGCCCCTCAGAGAGCCAATAATCTGTCATAGAGCCAGAAATATTTATCTGTCACTGAGGCAATAATTTAACTATGAATCAGCTATGTATCTTATTCGTCTGAGAGAGCTAGTTATTTGTACACCAATTAGCTCTGTCTCCCAGCGAGGCATAGACCTTAAAGGCGTCAGGGAGCCAGAAATCCCTGTCTCTCACTGAGGCATAGATCTCCCTATCGTCAGGGAACAAGCAGTATGGGTAATCATCATTTGCTTTCATCAATTTACAAAGAACTGAACCTGTATACACAAACAGCTGGATCCGTGGACCCCGTTTGCAAAGCATTAGCATGATAACAGCCAATTTCTAACACGTCCGCCTCGCTAATTTTCTCAATTACTTTTTAATGAGCAAATGATTATTTATAGATATATTAATGAGTATATGCATAAATTATACAGATTATTATGGTTTTTTTTTAGTTAATGTAATATAATTCTTCGCTTGTTTCGGTATCAGATTATTTTTGTATTTAGTATTTCGTAATTATATTTATCAAAGTGTAATCTCACCTTTCGTTTTGATCTCTTTTTTTATTCTTTATTGCTTTTTCCATTTATTTGGTGTAATTGTCTTCCTCTTGCATTCCGTGTCGTCCCCTCATGTCCATTAGCATGGTATTAAGGTCCTATCAGCGGCCGTTATTGCTTTATGCCTTGTTATCAACTTCCCTTTCCTCTTGTTTCCCCTCTAATTACATTTTTATTGTATTATCCGGTTCTTCCCGTTTTCCTACGGGAAGAACTTCCCCTACACTGACTCATTCACTCACTCTACACTGACTCATTCACTCACTCTACACTGACTCATTCACTCATTCTACACTGACTCATTCACTCACTCTACACTGACTCATTCACTCATTCTACACTGACTCATTCACTCATTCTACACTGACTCACTCACTCTACACTGACTCATTCACTCAATCTACACTGACTCAGTCACTCACTCTACACTGACTCATTCACTCAATCTACACTGACTCATTCACTCAATCTACACTGACTCAGTCACTAACTCTACACTGAATCAGTCACTCACTCTACACTGACTCAGTCACTCACTCTACACTGACTCAGTCACTCACTCTACACTGACTCAGTTACTCACTCTACACTGACTCAGTCACTCACTCTACACTGACTCAGTCACTCACTCTACACTGACTCAGTCACTCACTCTACACTGACTCAGTCACTCACTCTACACTGACTCAGTCACTCACTCTACACTGACTCAGTCACTCACTCTACACTGACTCAGTCACTCACTCTACACTGACTCAGTCACTCACTCTACACTGACACTCTCGCAGCATGTTCGTCAATTATCTTTCATGCCTTTCTTGTGTGGAAAAAAATGTTCTAAACGTGTGGACCCCATGTTCTATACGAGTGGACCCCCATGTTCTATACGAGTGGACCCCCATGTTCTATACGAGTGGACCCCCATGTTCTATACGTGTGGACCCCCATGTTCTATACGAGTGGACCCCCATGTTCTATACGTGTGGACCCCCATGTTCTATACGAGTGGACCCCATGTTCTATACGTGTGGACCCCATGTTCTAAACGTGTGGACCCCATGTTCTATACGTGTGGACCCCATGTTACCTACATCCGAACAGTTCTTCAACATGTATAAAAAAACATTTTATAAATTTTGCCATTGTATCTAATTGTGAGGTTAAATAAACACACCAATGTTCAGGCCAAGTTCTGTTTCTCTCTCTCTCTCTCTCTCTCTCTCTCTCTCTCTCTCTCTCTCTCTCTCTCTCTCTCTCTCTCTCTCTCTCTCTCTCTCTCTCTCTCTCTCTCCCTCTCTCTCTCTCTCTCTCTCTCTCTCTCTCTCTCTCTCTCTCTCTCTCTCTCTCTCTCTCTCTCTCTCCTCTCTCTCTCTCTCTCTCTCTCTCTCTCTCTCTCTCTCTCTCTCTCTCTCTCTCTCTCTCTCTCTCTCTCTCTCTCTCCCTCTCTCTCTCTGTGTCCCTCTCCCTTTCTCTCTCCCACAAAATATTAAACAGAACAGTTTAAAACTCGGGTTTACTGAGCCTAAGCCTGAAGGCTCTTAGCATTTCTTTATTGTTCCATATTCAGTTAAAAAGACTATTTGGAATTAGTGAAATCCTTAAAGGCGCTTCGAACACTTACAACTTACCAAAAGTAATTAAAAGTACTTAAAACTACTTAC